GTTCGCTACATCTTACAAAGGATGGCTTTGAAATACTTTTACAACAGAGGCACATTCCTAAAACTGGCCGAAATTTGAAATCGTTCCTACAGAAAATCTCCAGCAAAAAAGAATAATTAGTATGCATGCAGAATAACAGTAGCTAGGTTAACAAAGCAGACAAAAAAGATGGAAAAACCTTTGTCTAGTTTTGTTAATATTTCAGGGCAATAATGTTAATAGCAGACCACAACAAGAACAAACAAAGTTTAGTAATCAGGCAAAATATTTCAGTATCTCCAGAATTATAATATAAACTTATAAAAACTATAATAGGAAACATGTATGGCTTTGAATAGGAAAATACCCAAATTAGCATGTCTAGTAAATATTAAATTTAAAAATATATTTTTAATCTAAAGTTCTGGGCTTTTACTTCAATATTAACCATATAGAAATACATATGCATTTTATAGTATTAAGTAAGATTCGGATCAAATGTTATAAACATTATTAAACTAAAATAAACCAATTTAAAATAACACCTGTTTTTTATTTAAATAAAACATGTTAAATATATGTCATTATTAAATACATAAATTAGTCTCAACCACAATTTTTGTTTGTTTTTACTTCTAGTGGCGAAGTCTATATTTAAAAGTGACTACTAATTCACAGTCTTTCAAGTTTAGGTATTATTTAAGGAGACCAGCTATTACAAAATATCCTATTGACGATAACTAATTTCTCTTGAATAATTGTTTTGCATTTATCAACATTTTACAGCACTTTGTTTATATGAGATATCTATCTAGCTCTTTTACAACGTTTAAATCAAGTAATTACATTTTTATATTCAACTTATGCATTTTTAATATTCTTATTGGTACTTAGTCACTTAAAAATGTTGAAAGAGAATATAATAAAGGTAAAATTCCTTCTTCTACGGTGTTGTACATTCAATTTTAGGTTGTAAACGTTTTGTCCAACACCTTTTTCACAATTTATCCGAAGCAACACTATGGAAGATTTATATACTAAATTTACAGCTTATAGCATCCAGTTTTGAGATAGATGATAGGAGTGCAGTCACAATGCAGTTTCAGAGATAATTTTCATATGAACACATATTTACTCCAGCAAAAACGCATGAACCTATTCATGTAACATAAAAAAAAAATTGGAAATAAATTGCATAATTTGGTATATAAAAAAGCAGAAAATATTTTTAATTATAAATCCACTACGAGGAAAACAGTGGTTCATTCTACTTGTACCATATTGATATTAGTGTGCACGTTTTTATAATACTATTACTGCAGGACAAAAGGTAACCGTGTATTTCGTCAAACGAACATCAGAAAAGTGTTGCCAACTTAAGCTGACTGCTATTTCCCCCCTAGCCTCAGTTACCCCCTCATCCATTAACTGGGTCTATGTCGTGACCCCTTTAGATATACCAGCGCTGCTGGGTTCGAGTCCCACTGCCACCCACTGCCGTCTGGCCTACTACTCTAAGTTGTTTAGTGGTTTTCTCGCAGCAATAGGCAAATGCTGAGCCAGCAACATCCTCTCAGATACCTACCACCATTCTTTCCATTGCTAATTCGGATTTCTCTCTGGTCTTCACAGCAACTATTTTTACTACAACGACGGACGGACGGACTGACTGACAACAATGAACTGATTTCGTAAGTATTCTTTTTTGTCAAACTGAAGACAAAACACGCCATATGGATTTTACACACGTATAAACTCTTCCAAATTACAACAAATGTTAGGCAAATAGTTTTGCTCTAGATATTTATTTAAGAGAGATGAAGTGATCTTCTTTTATTAGACGCCATGTATATCCTTTTAAAATAAACAAAATAAGGAAAATCGAAGGAGTAATTAGATATACTATACAATCTTCTTATTTTAATTTTTACTCCAATCTCTCAAAATAAATTAGAAACTATTTGTATGTAATAATGGCAAAAAATAAAACTTAAGAAGGGACCAAATAAATTTATTCAATTTTTTTACAAATTAAAAAAAGTAATTTGAGTGCAATCGATAAATAAAACAAAATTAATACCATGTATTACTACCCCGTGCTCTAAGTACTGCGAGACATCGACGTGGCATACTTAAAATCAGGCTTTGCATCAATTGTTCCGAAAAATTGTCCCATTCCTCGGTTAGAGCATTTTGAAGTTGATTTAAGGTGTTAGGAACAATTGGTCGATTTCGTACTTATCGTAATAAATTGTCCCAGACATGCTCTATTGAATTTAATTCAGGACTTCGAACTGGCCAATTCAATGTAGGAATACCAACTTCGTTAAAGTACTGACGAACAATTAAAGCTGTGTGCGGGCAAGCGTTGTCTTGCATAAAAACAAAATTGTCACCAATAAATGAATCGTAAGGTACAACATAGGGTTCAAGAATGTCCGTTACATATCTTGCAGCTGTTAAATTTCCTCCCACAACTGGTACTAACTCTGTACGAGCCGCAAAAGAAATTCCTCTCCACATCATAACAGAGCCACCACCAAAAGGTTCCGTTTCTCTGATGTTACACTGAAAGTATCGTTCGCCATTACGCCTGTAGACTGCAATTCGTCGATCAGATGAAAACAGGCTGAATCTAGATTCATCAGAAAACAGAACATTGGACCAATCGTCTATATCCCAATTCACATGATTTCTGGCAAACTTCAACACTTCAGTGCAACACGATGCTCGTGGCGTGGACACAAGTCGGCCACCCTGGCTATAATTCCTCCTTCTCGAAGACGATTTTTTATTGTTTACACAGAAATTCTTGTGTTAGTTCGTTTTGGAGCATTCGCGCTGTATAGTGTCTAGTTCAAAGAGCGGTAATGTTAAAAATCGGGTGTCCGCTGCTGTGGTAACCCTTAGACGACCTTGGTCAGGCCTTCTGTGATATTGTCCTGTTTCTCTAAACCGGGCAGCTACCCTGGAAATTGTTGATTGTTGAACATCAAAAGCACAGACCTTTTATATATTGTTTATAGACAGTACACTCAATGTATAATTTTCGTAGCTGATTTCAGCGCCCTCACAGTGGTGGGGGGTTTAAACTAAACGATGGCGGCAATTTTTGAATGTCTGAATAATTTTTTGGAAGCACGCTTTGAACGTGGTTATTATGTGTGCCATTAAAGTTGAGATTTGATTACAATAAGCAAACAAATCGTAACTATAATGGTTTAATCATGTTTAATTTTGGTGCTACATTTTTTTATGAAATGAAACCATTTATTATATTTATAACGATTTATTTATAAAATGTAAATTTCGGGTATTATTTTAACTAAAACTAAAAATAGCTAAAAATAAGGCAATAATAATAGGTACATGCAAAATATTAAGATAAAATAAAAAAGATTTTTTTAGTTTTATCTGGTTTTTATTTCTTATATTATAGGTATCTTGTGTTAGCAAGAAGACGTATTTTACCATTAAAATATTGTAACAACTTGGAACCCGGAACAATCATGACTGAAAGTTTATCCATTATCTCAAATGTAATGTGGTCACATAGTCACATTAATCCTTCCTCCATGTGGTCACTGACCAATGTAAGCCGAAACTAATCGCGACACTGCCAATTAAATAAACTTTATGCTGTGGTATTAATTTTGTGCTTTATTTCCATATCACTATTGACTTTCTGTTTTATTTCCATTTTATTATTTAACAATCAGTTCAAAAACAAACAAATCACTCACAAAATTCATGAAAATAATAAAGAAATAAGAAATATTTGTGGTTATGTAGGTATTAAGTACACAAAGTAGGCATTGTTGTCACGGTCAAATGGTGATAATTCTCATCAATTACCCCGAACGCCTGAAGTCACCAATAAATGCAATAGTGACGATGAAAATATTTTAAAACATGACTTTTCAGCAATAGTTACTACTACTAAATGAAAAACGGCAAAAACGCTATAATCTTGCATTAATAAATTATAAATCAATTCATAAAAGTTCATTAGTTAATTAAGAATACCCAAAAATCGGGTAAAATTATTGCTATTGGCAACGCTGCACAAGCGTGTCCTATAAACGGTGCGGTGGCGACCTCACGACGGCGGGGGTATGAAACTTAACACGCATTGACCCTGACGGTAAGATTTGAAGAGTAAAGTGTTTCAAGATAACCCACCACCAAAAATTGGATTGAACAAACGTCATATTGCCGTTATTTTCAAAAAATAAAATTAGTGGTTTTTATGTTCTTTAACAAAATAATAAATTTTTTAAATTTTTTACAGACTTTGTTATAGACGAATTTTTTATAGACTTTTTAAAATCGCTCGTTATTCCACCCCACCCTGTACATATAAAATTGCCTTTAAATGACTTTAAATGCTTTAAGTAAGTAATTTGTAATTTGTCTATTTTAATACGTTTTAAAATGATAGTTTACCGATATTTCAGTAGTTTTATATAAAAAATAGTCAATCATTTTTAATGCATGTTAAGTAAAAATAAATATATATTTAATTTTGCAATTTTGCTGCTTCATTCATAAAACGCACACTTGCACTTCACATAAATCAGCTCGCACAGACCATCTTCACACAATTCAGTAGACGCCTTGCTCTTTTTAATGCGGCAGCCGATGCGACAGTTTTGTCTGCTGAACATAAAGCGCTTGCAATAAATAAGGGCTGCCTAATTATGAATGAATAGATTATTTTAGTAATATTTCGTCGTTGATTAGATCAAAGACTACAGCCTAGAGCTTTTATTTTTGGTATGCGAAATTTTTATTTTTAACAATAAATTATGGTTTTTATTTACAAAAGAATTTATACTATCTACAAAATTAAACTTGTTTCAAAACTAATTTATGTCGTATATCTAACCTTGCTTCAAAATGAAAATGCGGAACAATTTAGCCTCACCCACCTGTAACACTCTGTACAAAAGCGACAAAAGATAAAACCTCGCGACTATTGCAGGTTGCAGGTGCAAAGTATTTTAATGTTTAATGTTTAGAATCACGCGAAGCAGAGTTGGAGTCTCACAAACCGATTGAAGACGGAACCAACCATATGGTTTTGGTCGACGGGTCGAAAATCTGGTTAACGTTTATGACAAAAGCGAGGATACATTTGATTGAAGTATGAAAATAAACGGGTTGACGGAGGAGATGGGTAGTGTCCGTGTTGAGGAAAAAGAAGAAAATATAAAGTAAGTTTTTGAATATTTTTATAGTTGATAAATCTGGTGAAAGTTATAGTTTATGATGACCCTCATAATAACTATTAGAAAAGTAGCACGTTTTTATAATTGTTGTTAAAAAATAATTTATTAATGTTTGTTTAAATTTTTGAAGATGTTTATTCTTATAATTGAATTGGTACACAGTGTGTTCAAGCAAACCCACCACGAATATATCAAAAATAAATAATATATAAAATTTAAATATCTAGGTATCGAGTGATACCTTATTTGAAATATTTTTTCTACCCCTATAAAACTTTACTTTTTTTTAAATACGCTTCTTAGTTGCACTGAAGTCATTATTGCATATCATCGTTCCAAAAAAAAAACGACAAAAATACTGTTCTTTCGTGAGGTTCTTAAGGAACAGTATTAAAATAGATTAATGAACATTTCTCCCTGAACTAAAGATATTAGAAATGTTTTCAACCTTATAAAAACCATTTATTTTGTACTGACATTATTGATGACTTACCTTTTTGTTATACCCTTTATATAATATTTGTCAGCTAGTGAGACAAATACAATTAAAAAAAAATAATACTTAATATTTTTATTTACTAAAAAATAAAGTACCTTAATAAAAATGGAACAAAGTGAGAAAATTAAATATATTTATAGGTGGGTAAAAAGACACAAAGTAATAACAAATAAAAAGCAGAAATTAATGAAATGAAAGTGTAGTAATCAAAGGTAAAAAATAATTTGATTATTATTATAATAACTCATAAAAGAGAATACTTAATTTATGATTAAAATAAATGTCCACGCGACACACATTAAAAAGCTAAATTAAAAAGTATGATTTGTGTTAAAGAAACTGGACATAAACCAATGCATGTGACATAACTATTTGTATATTATTTTAAATGGAATGTTAGGAAGTACCTACTTAGGATTCCATTCGAAATTTTTCAGTCTTTCTATAGGACATACCTACTTTTGTTTGCTAACTGATAGACAACTATGCTACTGAATCATTCTTGATTGTAAACATTGGCGAAGAAATTCAATTCCATTGTTTTCATATTATACGGGGTGTTTTTTAGACATGCGGCAAAAATTCCGTTTCGTTTAGGAGATACGCACAACATTTTCGAGAAAACTATTTTTATTATTTTTAAAATTATTAATACTCTAAATAAAAACAGGTACAACACTGTGTTAACCAAGAACATACAACATTTTAAAAATTCGTTTTTTTTATCATTTTTTACCAACATTCCAATTACTAAAAACGACTATTTCTTCCACTTAACAAAACGGATTTTCAAAAATCATTAGGACAAAATATTCTTAGGAACAACCCCTTGAATTTTTGCCGCATGTTTAAAAAACACCCTGTATACACTGGTCAACATCTTTGTTAATTTAGAGGAATCAAAATCTGCAATTTTTAAGTATATGAAGTGCTGACGATAATTTAATTCTTCTGATCATAGATTTAATCCAAGCAAATGTGAAGGGTTCTATAATAACTTTGGGCTTGCAGAGCCCTTCCTTGTCTTTCGACATGCAACGTATATTTATTGTCTTTAGAAGTCACGGAATCAAATCTTAGGCATCAAGGCATAAGAAGATCTTTAAGAAAGGGGTCCATGGTTTTACCCTTAATATAGGAGTAAGGTAAAACCAAGGATTTGCAGTAAAGGAAATTTAAAATGAATGTGATCAAAATTGTTTTATCTTTTTTGTTTTTTTTTAGTAACGAATTCAATTAATGAGTGATATAATAAACATATCAATAAATTGAAGTATATCTGTTTGTTTAAACAGAGTTGGCATTTAATTACTGTATTTAGATTATTCAGTATTTAAACAAACATGCAATTTTTTAAAAACACTTGTAAATTATTATACCAAATCAAAATGAAAACAAAGATTACAGATTAGATACCTAAAATCAGGGAGGCGCGAAAAGAAGAAAAGGATAAGTGATATAGATTTATCGTCGCGCTACCTAGATGGTAGGTACCCCAAGGCTGAGCTTATTTCAAACTAGCAAATGGATAAAAACTATTTAAACATTTTTAAATGCAAATAAAAATCCCAATGTTACATATCAAGGTTTTAATTTTTGTTTTTAAAGTGATCGATGTGTAAACGGCGTCTAAACCTTATGTTGTAACGAGTAACTATTTTTCAAAATTTTGTATTCATTGGAGGTGTTAAAATTTCATAATATACACCCCTTAATTTTTACATAGCACTTTCAGGCCGAGCCTATGCTTAACAAACACCTGCATTCAAATTACACGAGTACATTTAAAATTTACCTAGAACCAGACATTGTTAAAAAATATATAGCTTTCATCCTTTGAATAGCAACTGTCATATCTCTTTAATACAATAAGCAAAACATATTTCCGGTACCCAACCAGTACCCAAGAACATTAAAAACATTTCCTAATGAAAACTTTGCTCAATGATCTCACTATTATCACAGATTATACAATACAGCTAAAACACTCTCCTGGTGGCAACGTTTTGCGTCGATTCCCTCGCGCATCACTTAAACTCCGCCTTCAAATGGAAAAGACGGCTGTGGCGTTCAGAAGAGTACTTAGGTATTTCAGTATAACTTTTTTATTGATGGAAATATATAAAAGAGTTTTATGAAATAAATATTGACAGATTCAAATATTTATCCTATTAATTTTCAAAAAATGAAAGTGAAACTATCCACGCATGTAATCAGTTATTCAGTGCATGTGTATCACTTTTTATAATGGATTTGGTTACCTTCACGCAGAAGCTTATGAAACTGCTCAGTTTGTTCAGATAATAGATCAGCTGTTTGATCTTTTTAGGACCGATTCCACCGTTGTGTTAAACGAAGTTTAAAATGACATTTTTACATTAAAAATGTCATTTTAATCTCCGTTTAACACAACGGTGGAATCAGCCCTAAGTTCATCAGATCCATTTCCTCCAAAAAAATATAATGTTGCTTTTAAAGGTAAACCATTTCAATCAGATTGCTTGACACTTTTTATTAAACTTGAGGTTCGAGACAAAAATAACGTAAATATTACCAAAAAAATAAAGATTTTGAAATTTCAAAAAATAATATTATAAATCTAATTAATTTTCTTCGTAATACTGCCGGATTAAATTCTTTACTGACAAGAAGATTAAATCAAGATTGTCTGGAGAATCACTATGTTAAAATTAGAAGTGAAACTGAAAACTGCATTAACCCGACACCCATACAGTTTCATAGGACGTTTAGAAAATTGCAGTGCGTTAATCTTATTAATTCGGGTGCAGAAAATTGTGAGGGAGATTCAGATAAAATGCTATTTAGGCTCCAGGACCCTAAAGAGTTCTCTGCATCTGAAGAGGAAAAGGTTCCAGTCAAGGATTCAACTGATGAAATTATCAACACCCAAAATTATTGTAAAGACGAGTTAGATGATTCTTCTTTTTATTGCTTTTTAAAGGCATATGATAATGACAACTCAGATACACTTGAAAATCTGCAAATGCCAAATGATAAATTTGTTGAACTAATTTTCAACATTGGAAAAATACCCTTTAGTCATGCCAACATTGTCCAAAAGAATTTGTATTTGGATTATACACAAGAATTAGAATTTAGTATACATTAAAAACTATTATTGAAAATTTTAGGAATATTCAAAAAAACAAACTAATAATGTGGAAAAATACATAATTTAATTAGGTATATTTTTTGCATATATTTTTTGTATACATTGTAGGTACTTTCATATTTTTTATATTGCATATACATATGTTTAGTATACGTTTTTTTTTTGTGTGGGTTGTTTATTTTTTATATTACACATTAAAAACCTAATTTACGCCATTTTATTCATATTTTTTCTAGAATGTTGATACAGTACGGTAAAAGTTGTATGAACCGTGCGCATTTTTACAAGTGGGTTGATCGGTTTAAAAGTGGCCGAACAAGTGTAGGTGATGAACCCCGATGTGGACGTCCAGTGGAAGTTTCTGGTCCCTCGTTGGAATCGAGGATTGATGGACTTATTCGTGATAACAGAAGAATTACTGTTGAAATGATAGCTGAGGAAGTTCAAGTAAGTGTTGGAACTGTTCACAATGTTATTCAGAACAATTTAAAGTACAAAAAAACGTATGTCAGATGGGTTCCCAGACAGCTTACTGACGCTCATAAAGAATCAAGGCTTTACATTAGTCAAGACTTGAAGCAACGAAGTTTGATTGAAGGAGACGCTTTTTTTGAAAGAATAGTGACCAGCGACGAGGTCTGGATCCATCACTGCGACCCTGAGACCAAAAGGCAGAGTATGGAGTGGAAACACACTAGCTCTTCAGTTCGCAAAAAATTCAAGGTTCAACCTTCCGCCAGTAAAGTGATGCTGACCATCTTTTGGGACTTACAGGGTCCAGTCTATGGCGATTTCCTTAAAGATCAGCGAACTATCAATAGCCAATATTACTCTGAGATGCTAGAACACAAAGTTAGACAAGCTATCTGGAGCAAACGCCGTGGACGCTTGTCAAAATGAGTCATTCTTTAGCACGATAATGCCCAGCTGACCCGTGATAAGCTTCAAGAATTGGGTTGGGAGGTCTTACCTCATCCTGCCTACAGTCCCGACCTTGCCTTATCTAATTTTTACTTGTTTGGACCACTCAAAGACGCCCTACGTGGAAAAAGATTTGCTAACAATGAGAAAGTTAAGGAAGCGGTGCAAAAGTGGCTTCGGGGTAAATCGAAAGAATTCTTCGTCAAGGGAATTAGGAAGCTGCAAGAAAGATGGGACAAGTGCATAACTGTGGGGGGTGATTATGTTGAAATATAGCCTTAATTTTAAAAGATTGAAATAAACCGGTTTTGAACTATAGCCATTTGTCTCTTTACTTATTGAATGACCCTCGTATATCCAATATTTAAAATGTAATATGTGAAGTAGTTGGCTATCAGGCTGCTACATATTCCTCCAGAGTACAGCATTGTA